AATCGAAGAGTGTCATCAGCAAGAATGGTATGATACAGTTTGTGAATCTGGAAGATTGACCACCTATCATGGAATTAAATCATTGCTAAATACAGAATATTACATGTCCGCCATTACGACCAGAGACTTACGCCGACGACTGCAGCTTCTGTTGAGATCATCCGAACTCCAAGTAAGAGTTGGTGGGAACCAATAACTCGTGAAGAAAGAAGATATATAATGTAATCGAAAACGAATATCATTTCCTTCTAGAATGTCATTTCCTGCCTAGCATAACTCAGGAATATGATATCGTCCTCTGTATTACTGTTCTCAAACCACTATCATGAAATTTAACCCTCTGTTAACATCTGCTCAACAATTGTGCAAAATTGGAATGAAGTTGTGTTTGAATGGGTAATTACTGTGGTTCTTGTCATCTTGTCATTGTTATTCAATCAATGTATGTTATTTTTGTATGTGAGCAGTTGCTGAAATAAACTCTACTGTACCGAGTAGTTGTGTTGTTGGATGGATGATGTTTGCATGGTGTTCCGTCTCTCGGAAACTATATTTATGATGGCCTGTTTCTTCATAATACTCTTTACAAAAGGACCGCCTCCGTGGTGTAGTGGTTAGAGCGTCCGCCCGGAGAAGCCCGACCGCGTCATACCAAAAGACCTGAAATATGGTACTTGTTGGTCCCTGCCTGGCGCTCGGCATTAATGGGTACAACAAGGACTGGTCGGCTCAGTATAATGTGTCTCAGTGGGGCATTCATGCTTCACTGCGGCATGGTATCTCAGTGGGCTAGCACTATAAAACCAGCTTCAGTCTGGGCTAGTACAAGCAGCCGCATATACACATACACACGCATGCACGTCGTCATATGAGCGAAATATTCTCAAGCACAACCTTAAACCCAATTTCACCTCACCTCTTTACAAAAGTAGGGGGACTTTATTTTTAATTTACGATTGAACAAACGTGTTCGTACAGTAATCGCTCTTGGAACATGCTTGGTGTGATGATGCTGACGTGCAATTTGCATGTGCACGATTTTCATTTTAACAAAAAAACAAAAACTCGACTTGAAACAAACACTAACAACTGTTTGATGCAAGATGATTGTCAACATCAATGGTCTACAGTGATTGATCGACCTTTTTGAAAACCGTCAAAATCAAGAATGACACCCCATGCACGTGTATGGCGCTACTTCGTTGTGCGCGTGTACCCCATGTGTTGTGTTTAGGGGTGGTGATAAAGACAAATAGCTGTGTGTTCATAAGATCAGTCTCTGAAATGTTTTTTAACTCTTATACTTCCTATCCAAATTGAAAGTTCAGGTTCCCCCACTTTCTTTGAAGAGTATATTCGAGATATTGCGTTATGACAAACATAATATTGTTTATGTGTCAGCACGGTTAAGCCAAACTCAACTCGTGCAAGAAATACACGAAATGATGCTTTGTATGATGAATTAGTACACAATTCCGATGTTTAGTATATCGTCTTTTCCTAAACACAAGAATATGTATCGATGATGGATTTTTCTGATGTGAAAATGTTCAGCAAACGTTGGAAGATCTCAGTTTGAACTTATGGGTGTACCTGCAAAATGTGATTTCGGAAATTGATGGGTATCATGTCATATATATAAGTGGAGCAATGATACACTTCATTTTGTGTTGAACACGTTACCTTGGTTGGTTGGTTTTATAGTTTTAGGGCGACGTGGGCTAATAAGAGGCCTATTTGCGCCCAACACATTGACTTCATTTAATAAATAATCATAGGTAATTTCATCGCCAAAAGGAATCTTTTAGTTAAGATAAAAGAAACGACAAAGATATTAGTATTAAATTGATGGATGTATACATATATCGAATAACCTCTGCTTTGTGTTACGGATTAAAAACCTTAAGTAATCACTTCCATTTCTGAAACATGAAATACTCATTCATTAAAAAAGCAGAAGGTTCATATGACAGAGTGTTAAAATGATTTAAAACCACAGAACTAAATCTGTCTAAGCCATTCGAGAGCCTGTCTAGATTACATCATATTTTCCAGATGACGAGACAAAATCTAAAAGTGCCCGTTGCACAGACCCATACATGATATTGGGGCCCAAAACTGTTTCTTATGAAAATACATCATCAACCTCAAGTACAGCACTTCTGAGATTATGTCTTATGTTGTTATGACCAGGGCATGTGATTAGACAATGTTCGATATTTTAGGCGTCTCCAAATTGCAATGGCCACATTTAGAAGAGACAGTCTTATCTATAACACTCCTGTAATCATTTTGCCCACAGTGTCCAAATCTGAGACGTGAAAGAATAACCTCATCACGCCTTTTACGACGACTAATTTTATGACCAGATTTTAGTGATGGTCTAAGTTTGTGCATATGTCGGCCTGTAAACACGTTACCTTGTGAATGTAAAGAGTTATGTCCCCTTGCAGCAACGTTTATATAGGCTTCATAAATTTATGTACTGTTCACGGCCAGAATGATTGATTGACTGATTGTTGTTTAACACCGCACCTCCGCAATGAGTCAAGCACCTGATCGCCAGCACACAAAGTTAGCTGCCTATCCCGCTCAGCCACTGGCGATTAGGTGCGTGACTCTGAGGCTGTGGGTTCGAATCCCGGATTGGACTAAACCCAACATAAAGTACTAGAACCTGCACTTAACTGAGAGAGTGTAATTCCAAATATAACATGTTACATTTGACCACTTTCTAAATGACATTGTGTGATCATGATTTCCTTTGTTCGGCTGAGGTCTTATATTACCAGTAATCGATCTCGATATAATGTTCCTCAACACCGTCAACATAAGGATTTGAATGTACATGTATACTGACGAAAACAAACAAGGGAACGCGGGAAAGTACAAGCGGTCCATTATTGTTCCAGGTTTCCTAGCACGCTCAGCACTGTGGGTGAAATTCTGAGAACGAATATGGGAAGACTGCAATGATTTGGCGTTCCCTTATGTTTTCTATATTCGGGCACTATGACTTAAATAGCCAAATACATCGACAACCACACATACGTTGAACATATTGTTTACACATGTACAGAACACACAGTATAACATACATTAAACATTTTATTAGAAGCAACAAAACATCAACAAAGGGTAAATGTCACATGAAAGCCAAAGAACAAACAGTATATCATCGCTGTCTTCTTACACTGTAAATATGTCTTATGAAATAACTTCCTGCAATTTATACAGCGGTTATAAATATCAACAAAGGTTGAATCCCATGGTCTCAAGAGACTTATATATCCATCCTATAGTAGATTAAAACCCCCATTTCAGATAATAAATAACATTGCACAGTTATTTACAATCAGCAGTAATTATGCAAACAACACGCGAATAACATAGTTGTCTCCCTTAGACACACCAGAAGCCTATAGTTGTGGGTAGGAATGATGATTAAGTTTCTAGATTTGTCAACACTGCACCCATGTACGTCGGTACAAATCTCAGATCTGCATCACTTCGGGTTTCTATCCCCTATGCTGTGATGTAACTGGATCCCACTCATTCATGTACATAATCATGTTATGATGATAATAATTATAATAATAAAAATAATAATAATATGTAGCTTACATTGCGCTTTATTCCATGCACTGTATCCTCAGAGCGCGACAGGGAGAGTGGAAATGTACATGCCAGAGAAGCACAGGTGGAACACAAACTGCTAGTTGAATAAGAACGTCTTGAGCTGACGTTTGATTTGGGTCACTGATGGAAGAGCGTGCCACGGCTGTGTGGATACGTTAGAGAATGATCGACATCCGAAGTGTTGCGAACATGATCTGTGTCTTCTGGCTGGATGACACTCCCTGTTCAATTCGCAAAGATAGCTTGGCACTGTTCCGTTGACACATTAGGAGGTGAGTGTCACGACTTTGAACTGGATTCTCTTCTGGACTGGTAGTCAGTGCCGGGACTTATGTCTAAGTAATAAATCATCTCATACTATCTAATCTGTTAACTGTGACAGATACTACAAGTACTGTCCATAATCACAAAAGAATGTCTAATGTCTCCTTCGATGCAATAAAGTGCATTATATTTTCACAAACTCAAAACTAATTTTAATCTATGACGATTAATATTGATATGTAACAAGGCGAAAGGTACAATCAACATAATCTAGTTTACATAGGTCAAAGGAAGATATGTCTCTCTACCATTTTGTAAAGAGGTGAAAATCTTGTGGTAAATATGCTGAATACCGACTACTCCCTCACGCACTCACGCTCTCAGGCATTCAAGCACTCACTGTATCTGTTCAAGACGTCAGCGTAAGTATCACACACAGCGTTCAACAAAAGCGTCATGTAATGTAAAAAGATATTAAAATTGATAAAACACCTCATATCTATATAAACGGCTAGCAATTCTGACGTTTGTTTAGCCAAAAGCTTTTGAAACAGCTGCTGAAGACTGCAGCCCCATACAGTATAGGGGCGATGGGGTAGCCCATGGTTAAAGCGTTCGTTCGTCACGCTGAAGGCCCGGATTCTATGCCCTACATGGCTACAATGTGTGAAGCCCATTTCTGTTGTTGCCGCGACATTGTTGGAATACTGCTAAAACCGGCCTAAAAACCAAACTCACTCACTCACTCACTCGAAGTATACTGCTAAAAAAATATGGGAACACTCTAAAATTTGATGGTGATATGTAAAATTAATAGTGATGAGGTTATTTATACTCCAAGGTAAATGCAACTTTTTGACAATGTTTTGTTTCACTCAAACTCAACGAATATTTAATCAGTTGCTTCACTGCAAGTTCTAACATGTCGTTTAAAGTGCCCATTAAGCACACAAAAAGTTGCGTTTACCTCATAAATGACCTTATAAAAGTATAAATGACCTCACCACGTTTAAGTTTATATATGACTATCAAATCTTCGGGTGTTCCCATACATTTTGTTTATAGTATACAATGAACACGTGTTTATGAATCATTGATAACATCGGGCGAACCTCGTGGTTAGCCTGGAGGTTACAACTTTACTAATTCCTCAAGATCTTTACAGTAAAGGACGCATTGACACATCCCACTGTCATCCTATTAATGCTTGGAAGAAGCGCCACAACGCACCAACACGTCAACGACTGCCTCGTGGTTTAGGTGTTTAGCTATGTCAAGTGGTGTCCTCCCAAACCAACCACAGCTGTTAATGTCTACCACATTACACGATACGACGTACTCGACAATCTCTGCATTACCTCCACTACAAGCATTGTGAAGCAGAGTGTCACCATGACCATATTTGGGCAGGGCAGATACGTCGGAACCTTTGTACACAAGCAGGTCAAAGATGTGTCTGTGTCCATTCTGGGCTGCCCACATCACCGCTGTCCTCCCCAAATGATCTCTGCTGTTGACGTCCACAATTTGATGTGAAAGAATGTACTCTATGATGTCTAAATCACCTCCAAAACATGCCCTGTGAAGGATGTTATCACCGTTAATATATTTTAAGTTCAGGTCACATCCTTTCCTGACAAGACGGTCGAATACTCGTTTTTGTCCTTTCTCTACCGCACACATCACAGGGGTCTTTTCAAAATTATTTCTTCTGTTCATGTTGACAATGTTGCAAGAAACAACGTACTCAATGATGTCCACATTACCCCCATAACAGGCCTTATGGAGGATAGTGTCACGATCCTCATCTGAGATGGTAAGATCACATCCAGTGTGTACAAGGAGGTCGAACACACTTTTATGTCCCATCTCAGCTGCCCACAGAACTGGGGTCTTCCTATTTTGTCCTCTACAATCAATGTCAGACAGACCCAGATGAATTATGTCATCCACAATTGTAACATATCCACCACGGCATGCGATGTGAAGAATGTTGTTGCCCCAAACGTCACTTTGTGTCAAATCACAATTTTTACTCACAAGATAGTCAAACAACGTCTTATGTCCCATTTCAACAGCACACATCACTGGAGTCATGTGAAGTTCATTTCTACTGTTAATGTCTGTTTTTTGGTCTGAGAGAAGATACTCCACAATAGGTACACTGCCACCAGAAGAAGCGTGATGAAGTATGTTACGGTGAGTGACGGACAGTTCTGTCAAGTCAATCCCGTTTTGAACAAGGAACTCAAATGTTCTCTCGTGTCCCTTCTTTGCTGCTAATGTCACTGGGGTTTCCAACTTATGACTTCTGCAAGTAATGTTTATTTTATTGCCCTGGATGATGTTTCTTACAATATCTGCATTGCCTCCAATACAGGCATAATGAAGGACATTGTTATGGTCTTCGTCCATGTCAGACATATTGGACCTTGTGAGCAAAAGATCAAACATCTCCGGGTCACCTTTCTCTGCTGCCCACATTAGAGCTGTTTTCCCACGTTTATCGCCGTGACAACTGCGTGTTTTCTTCAGGGACAGTTGCTGAACGGCAAGCTGACGATTACCTGTCATAGCAGCGATGAGTATGACGTCATTTCCGTCACAGTCCCGGATGTTTACATCAGCACCAGCAGACAGCAGGCGTCCACATATATCTGTGTGTTCGTTATATGCTGCCACCAACAGCGGTGTTCTCCTTCCACTGTTCACAGCATTGATGTCAAGGCCAGGAAATGCTAAAATATCTTCCACAATAAGCAGGTTTCCACCCTCAGAGGCAAGATGTAACAGAGTGTTTTTAGCAATGTCAATAACTGATATATCTGCTCCTCTGTCTAAAAGTATCTCAAATATTTCTTTATGCCCCTTCTTAGCAGAATATGATAGTGGCGTTTTTCTGCAAGTACTTTCCCCATTCACATTGTGCTTTGCCAATAACTGTATGATCTCCACGTTTCCACCTTTGCTTGCAAAGTGAAGGATTCCACTTGATTGATGATCCTTTAGTGACAAGTCACAGTTTTTGTCTACAAGAAAGTCAAACATTGGATAGTGCCCTTTGGCTGCTGCCAACATAACCGGTGTTCTTCCCTTAGCATCTCTGGTGTTGATGTCAACCTTTCCCTTTGACAGAAGGAAGACTGCAAGGTCCAAATTGCCAGTCTCGGCCGCAGTATGAAGCAGGGTCAGTCCAATCTCATCCACAAGTAACATACTCGATCCTTTGTTTTCTAGACATGTCCGAAGTGGTGATGCATCATTTCTACAGGGTTTTGCCCTAAATTTGCCGCCATGCTCTCGAGCCTGCAGAAATTCTGTCAAATGTTTGGAATTGTTTATATGCCCGGAGAGTAGTGTCTCCGCCATACTGAAATGTTCTGTGGATAGGTGGCAATTCTGTGAGAGAAGCAATTGAAACACATCTCTGTGACCCTTGAAAGCAGCTATCATCAACGGAGGCTTTCCATACTGTCCAACACGGTTAATATCGAACAGTTTACTGGAAATGATATGGCTAACAATTGCTAGGTAACCACCCTCACATGCCAAATGTAGCACAGTGTTACCATAATCATCAACACCAGTCAGATCAGCCTTTCTGTTATTGGTGAGATAGTGGTACAGTGGACTGTTACCATGGTAAGCTGCCATCATGAGTGTTGTTCGCGAGTGTTCACCTTTTGTGTTCCATCTATCACCAAGATGCGGTATGAGTGTTTTCACAAGCTCTGTATATCCATTCATGCATGCAAAATGAATAGCTGTGTTTTGAGTCTTGTTTCTCGTAAGTGGATCTGCACCAGCATCCAACAAGAACTTCACAATTGACGTTCTCTTTCCCATCACAGCAAGCATAAAAAAGGAGTTTCCGTCTGAATCACTAAAGCTTAGCTGACTGTTTGGATCAAGCATATTCTGCCATAGATACAAGAAATAATTTGTCTGGTTCAGTCTAAGGCAAGATGTGAGACCGTCACTGATGTGTACCCGTGACAGTTCCTTTTGCTGTAATACTTTCTTACGCATGTAATCATTGCCAGACCGAAAGACCCAGTACAGGAAATCGTGTGCAATAGCAGAATCCTGTTCTTCTCATAAGTCTAACACCTCCTTGAGATCTTCTCCAAGTTCGACAAAGAACCTGTCTATGTTGTCCTCCTTGGTGAGGACTGGGTGGGACAATGTATTTCTGAATTCCCCTCTCCTAACACATCCAATCAACTGGTCTATGAGCTTGTCGTTGTTACTTCTGGAGATAAGAATAGCACTCTGATTGGGCGATGCCAAGTCATCACCTTCAAAAACATGCAGTGCAGTGTTTCCACAGACTTCCGGGGAACTTTGTATCTACATAGAACACACACACATCGTATGTCAAAGGGTCATTGAAACATACTGTGTTGCCCTTTTGGGACAGGTAGATCTCATTTAGTTTGTGTATGATGTCAGGAAGGCCGCTTTTGTGAACAGAAGGAAAGAGCGGGTCAACTGCGTCCAGTGCATTGCCGTCAACAGCTTTAAAGACATATTCATTCCGGGGAGGATCAATCGGAACATCATCAACACGAACAGAATTATTGGCAGTAGCATACAGGTCATCAGCCCTCAGTGCGCATATACTCTTCTGAAACAATGTTCAGAGATTCCGATTCCGATTCGGTTTCAGATTTTGATTCAGACTTAGATTCAGATTCAGATTCAGATTCAAGAGTATCAACTTTGTTTCCTGATACCAGAACATACAAAATTCCAGCAGCATAGTTCTGATTCTCAAATAGTTTTTCTACTTCTGTACTGAAGTACCTGTGAGGGCTTGTAAAATATGTGAGAGGATCAGCCACAGGGCTTCCTTCCAGAACCGTTTAATGACCTTCGGAAAACCAAGATAATACCGAGGCAGCGGTGCAGTGATCTCATCCCGAGCTTCTGTCTGCAGCTGTAACATTCGAGAATATTCTTCTTTGGTTCTCTCCGAGTTCATGTTTCGTGTTTTTGTAACGTTCACAGTGATTGTATTTGTCCCGAACAGACGTTTTACAAATTGGGCTCCTTCCTTATCGTGTTCTTCTATGACAACTAGATGCACGTTCTTCCTTTTACGCGAGAGTGTCTCACGGATGTAAGGATACATATCATCGAGCACCACAAGTGTAGGCTGCTTTGACTGAAGTATTTTTGGATTGAAGTCCTCCAGTCTGCTGTAGATGACAGTGTTGTAGCCTTCTTGCTGATAGTCGTAACAGAGTTTTTGTCCAATTGTGGTCTTGCCTTCACCATGGCTACCAATTAGTATGAGAAGTCCATTTTGTTGCAGTTTTGCACGGGCGTCATGGTAAGCAGCCGTCTCAACAAATAGATCAGTCCATTCTGAAACAAAGATGGACCTGACAATAGCATTAATGTGCTTAACAGTTGGAATCTGTGTTAGAAACAGAACCTTGTACCCTGAACTTACTACACTATGGTTAGAGGTGTCCCAATGGACTATTTATTACCAGACGTGATGTAAATAGGATGTTGACGACTTTTTTCCTTCCAATTAATTCTAAATGGTTATCATATTTTCTTTAAATGTTGTGGATCGTATTGTGGCTACAGATTGTGATCATCTCTGGTTGGCATTTTAGAAGTTGGGAAGCACAATACTGACAAACATTATAGATAACAAGGTCTTGTATTTCGCGACGTTTTGAACACAGATGGTTGTACCGTTGTCAAGAAGGAATGAAAGTATGATACCCTACGTGAGGCTGGAAGGACTAGAAAAGTTGTCCACGCGATTTTGTTCAAAACAAAGGGAAACTGCTCACCACTCTGCCTAACAGATACTTGTTGATCGAGCATCATTTTGAAAAATATCTCTCTGGCGCTATCCAGTAACTCTGCATCATATTGTAGAGATCCATGGAGTGTATACTTCTCAACATTTGATTGTAGGCATTCGAGAGTTTTATGAAAATTGTCAGGATGCTTCCACTCATCGGGTCCTATCACGCCATGAAGGAGATGAAAGTTGGATCCATGTTTCCTCCTTACAATGTATGTGAGACTCTGGGCGAGTGTGGAGTTGTAGTGTAAGGCATCATCAACTTCAGCTTCTACGAACGTAAGGACTTTAACCGTCCTATCTTCCCCAAAGACATAGGCATCACATATGACGCTGTGTGGAGCTGGAACCTCCTCTTCTGGCTCCAGGAACGTGAGCAGTGGAGAGTTGACGTAGATACAGTGCGTCGCAGGAATTGATTTGATGGAACGAAGAATATCTTTGGGAAGGTACAGCTCCACATCTTTTGGGTAAATGCCACCTATGACAAACAACAAAAGTATATTAGACACTGATACATTACCATTTCGTCTCCAATAAAATAAAACTTTAGAGCAAAAGAATTAACACAATTGAAAATTTGACAAACATTTTAAAAACATTACTTGTCTGAAACCAGTGCACTGATACTGATTGACATGAGAATGTAATGCTGTCTATGTCACTTGGCGTAGGGGTAGCTTAATGGTTACAGCGTTCGCACGTCACATCGAAGACCCATGTTCGATTCCCCACATAGGTACACTGTGTCAAGCCCATTTCAGGTTTCCCACGTCGTGATAATTGTGGAATATTGCTAAAAGCGGCGTAAACCCATACTCACTCACTCGCTATAACACCTGTACCAATTACATCGCCATTGACATAATCAGTTCATGTCGGTTTCGGTCCCGATCACCATCAAACAAACGTAGGTCTATACTTTGCTGCTTAGGCATTCTCAGCTCATGATTGAGTTAGTGAGTGAGTGATTTAGGTTTGAGCAATATTCATCAGTATCACTGTACAGGTTGTTCAGCTTGACCTGATCAAGTGAATACTAATGCATTACGTGACCGTGTCACAACTGATTGGGTCTAGTATTGTGAAGGTGTGGGCCTTTGTCAGCTGAATGTCAACATGTCCGAACAGCCTAGACAAAGTCGCCGTTTGACATCTCAGTGTCGAGAAATCGCCAGCAGTGTCCTTACTTTCTTTACACGGTCACACAGGAATCAGGCTACCTCCATACCACGCAGATCTGAACCCAATCGAACTTATATGGGCCAATGGGAAATGTTTTGCAGCTGCCAAAAATGTGAAGTGTACTATTACCGATGATAGGAAATTAACAGAGGCGAGGTTTCTTGAAATTGGTGTAAACGAGTGGACTGATTGCTGTGCCCATGTTGAAAATTTGCAAAGCGATTACTGGGACAGAAATATTGCAGTTGAACATGAAATAGAAAAAGTGATAATTGAACTGGGTGGAGAGAGTGATAGCGAGAGTGAATAGGATTCTGAAAGTAACTGACTGTACATTGTAAAGTTAGTAAACCAAACTAGATAGCATATGACTGTATAAATAATTCAATTGAAACATGAAGTGATTGTTTTTTCAGAAGTGTTGTATGCATGTTTCGCACGAACGCAACAATAACAACATTTTCTGCTCCCCTATTTAATGAAGTTAACTCGACCAGCTGTTTGTGCCATTTGACCTCCCGGGTCATGCATATGTAGAGTAGCTCAGGTCAAGCTGAATAACCTGTAGTTGTCAACAGAATTAGGTTTTACACGTCGTACCAATATTAGGAATCAACCCCGGGTCTTCGGCTTGATGTGCAAACGGTTTAAACATAAGGCGCTCCATCGCCCTCGAGATTGTGTTATGTTATCGAGATGTAGAATATTTTACAGTCATGATGCATATCATGGTGCATATCATGCATATCGTGCAGTGAACGTATCCACGTTGAGCAAGAATATTTACTCAGACTATAGTACACACTCCTGCATATGCTACAAGGTGCAAACAAATATACTTACCCTTTTCAATATCACAGTGATTGTGGTATACCAGAAATGAGTAACCTGAAAAAGAATTAGGTTGTGTCAGAGAGTAAAATTAAACGATCATGAGCAAAATACAATCACGTTGATTTGGACGCTTAAAAAGGTCAGTGCAGTTAACTACGTTCAACTGCCTACCTGGGCCTCCTTTCACAAAGCACTAAGGTGATTGTAAGTCACTAGGGTAATCTTAGTGCAACGTTAAAGAATGGGAGTTAAGGTTAACCTTAGCAAAGGTTGCTTCGTAAAAGGGGGCCCCTGACAATAGTTAGAAATATAGAACGTGGCCGATATCTACCAGCAATGGGATTGCTGAATAGGATTTATTCGTCTCTCTGCGATGAAAAGTTTCATATTGAAAGGGTCTTTGCATCAATGTTTGTTCGAAACACAACATAACTTAGGCGGGATATGGTGTTGACTGTTCGGTAATACGCTCCATTTCTTTCAACAGCCCCCAATCCCCGGACCCAGAATGATGATCGAGTCACTTACAACTGAACTCCAAGGGCCTTTTTCCTTGGGAATGCATTCCTCTGTACTTGTGGTTAGAGCACTCGACAACATCGTCAGAGCTGTAGCTACTGGACAGTTCTGAGTCGTCACTGTCCACGGATGAATCCATACTGCTCAAAGGTTGTCGTCAATGTAGTCGTTCAAATGTTCACGTGGAGGACAGAGTTCAGTTCAAGTACGCAGCATAAGAAGCAGATTTCTGATGTTGCCTACCCTTGTATTACTGAAATACCTTTTATAGCAGTAAAAAATGATGTACGATGCCTCATTCCTCAGCTGACTTTGTGTTTATTCCTTTCCAGGAAGGCAGCTGTGTTATTCTGTTCCACCACTTTTCTTTGTCCATCCTTTCAATATTTCCCTCTAATATTTCATAGGTACGAGGTCC